GAGGAAGGTGGGTGCTCTCGCCACCTGTGGCACCCTTCATAATGGCATCCCGAGTAGACCCAGAGACGTTTTCATAGGCCATGCCAAGTAAGCACCTCTTGAACGCAGGTTTTTCAGTCCAACACCTAATAGAAGTGTCCTCCGCTTGTGATTCTCATGCAGAAAATCTCCAGCAACCCATCACAACTGTAACTCAATGTTACAGCGGTCCTCTTCAAACATTCTATGATCAAGAGATCAACCACCATCAGTCAAACTGGTCATCATGATTTAATGGACCCCAGGCTAGGAACAGGGCCGGTTGAAGAAACAGGCTGATCCTCCATGAGCAGTGTTAAAGGAGAACTATAGGGTTAGGACATTTCCCCATAGTTCTCCTTAGGGTAACGGGAGGACACAAACTAGCGTCCTCCCGTCACCCTAAGCTCAGTATACTGCGAGCTACAGATCGCGGTATACTGAGACGCCGCAGTTATGTCTGGATCCGCCCAGCTGCGTGACTGACAGCTGGCTCTGCCTATCTAGAGGCAGAGCCAGCTGTACCCGCCCCTCCCCCGTCCGTTCCGCCAGTCAGCGCTGGAGGATCGGGGAGGGGGGAATCCAGCCCCTCCCCTGTCAAGGCAGAGAGCCGTGACAGAATCAAGAGGTGAGCGAGCGCCGGTATGTGTTCGCTCACCTCCCGATCTACTGAGCCGACCTGTGACAGTCTCATTGTCACAGGTCGGCTAGAACTATGAGGTGAGTGGAAATCACTCATCTCATAGTTCTCCTTTAAAAGGGCCGAGGTGGTCACACCCAGCAGAGCTATGGCAGACCGAAGTCGGTACATATTTCAAGAGCAGAGGACATGGATTCAGGCTGCAGACCTCAGCAACATCGAATGGGAACACTGCAAGCAGTAACTGGGCCATTAGAGTGAGTTGGGCATCTAGGACAGTCCCAGCTGTGTGTAGACATGTTGCAACTGTGTGTGAAGCAATATAGCTCAGGTTGAGGTAAGGACCTAGGTACTTGAAAAACTCCAACCGCTGGCAGGTGAGGGGCCGGATGTCTCGAGGTGACCAAGTCACTGGAGACAGGCTGAAGATCTGAGTTCCACATCACTCTTTGCAAAGCAGGACGCCGTTTCTTGAGTGCTGAATGGCAGAAAGACCACAAGACTCCACCCAGCAGATGTCAGCGTTCAGTCCCAATGTTGGGAACCAACTGAAAGTGGAAATCTTGAAGGCGCCCAGCAACCTTACCAACTAGTCAGCTCCAGTTGCTCACCCAACTCAGTGTTATTAGACGGGGCAAGCACTGAGGCAATGGATCTGGAAAGCCCCTTATGCAGAACAGTCCTCAAGGGTTAAAGACTCAAGTCCTGGCCAGCAGGGTGAACATTCCAGAAGCTAGGCTGAACCAGATCGGGATTGTAGGGACCAGGCCTGGCAGTGATGGACAGTCGTTTTTCTGGGACACTAGTAAAATAAAGTGATTTTATGCTGGTAGTAGGCGGCGCTATTCTGGGCTGGCCTACAGTCTGCCAGTGTCCAATCCTCTTATAGGCCGCAGTATCATCTTAATACTTCCTGCGTCCTTAACCCCTTCATGACTGAGGCCCTTTTTTCCATTTTTGCACCCATGTTATATTCCACATTTTAGGCCTGAAAATGACGTAAAACCCCCCAACATTATATATTTTCTGAATGCCAAGACCCTATAGAATAAAATGGTGGTAGTTGAAAATTTTTATGTTGCGCAATATTAGCGCAACTCCTTATTAAACCCCAAAATTTAGTGACAAATTTAATTAAATGCCCCAAAACACAACAAATTACCCATTTTTTTTAATGAAATATAAAAGATGAGGTTACAACGAGTAAAACGATACCCAACATGCCCAGTTTACAGATTGCGTGCGACCGTGAAACGGCGAAAAACTGCAGTACCCCAAAAAAACAATAAAAGACACTTTAAAAGCCCCCACAGGTCATCAATTTAGAGAT